GATCAAAGGTTATGCATTTTATCCCCAAAAAACACCTTGAATTAATCCGATTTTATGAACATCGTTAAAATTGACTTTTTAATAAAAACATGTTTTTAAAAAAAAAATGAATCAACATTTTTGGTTTGAATCCGATTCAATAATACCCCAAAATAACCCTTTAAATACAAAATCCCATTAAATAGTGTAACTTAAATCTGGATCCTTAAATTGATTAAAACGATGAACCTTTAATAAACACATCTTTGAAATGTATCCCATCAAATAGTGTAATCCAAAAGTCCATCCAGAATAAAAACAGAAATCCTAATAATAATAATAATCAGATGTAAAATCTTTCGGTTTGATTTTATTTATTAAACATTAATATGCATGTTTTTCAGTGATTTAGTTTCCTTTGAATAATAACAGCTGGGTGCAAGACTCCCTGAAATGGTTTCTTTTAAATCTGGATTTTTCCAAAAGGCCATTCTTATAATAATCAGAAATAAAAACCTCTGAATTAACTCTCTATTTAACACACACATCATTACGTCTCGAGGTCATTTAGTTTAGTTTCCTGATTATTAATACAGGACTGAACAAATCCCTTAAAATGTTTCCTTTGAATCTGGATTTCCCCCAAAGGCCATCCAAACTGAATTAACACTTAAGTCATTACGTCTTGAAGTCATTACTTGTATCTTATTTTATTTTTGTTTTATTTCTATTTGTATTCCGCACACTTCTCAGTTTGCATCATATAGGCCTACCATGTTGTTGTTTGTTTTGTTTTGAATCTGTAAAGCAAACTGAGACAAACGTGATATTGGGCTAGAAATAAAGCTTGATTTCATTTGATTTAGTTTCCCGGTCAGTAATAATAATAATAATAATAATAATAATAATAATACCGGACTCAGGACTTACCTTCCCTGAAATGGTTTAGTTTAAATCTGGTCCAAAAACCTTTAACTCTTAATTAACTCTCTATTTAACACATAAATCATTACGTCTCGAGGTCATTTCGTTTATTTTCCTGGTTAATAATACAGGAGCACTCACCTTCCCGCAGACCTCGCAGGTGAACACTTTGGGTTTGTTCCCGGGACACGAGCCTTGGATCCGGGCCGCCGCCGCCGCGGAGCCTTTGAAGATCTTCTCAGTGAGGATGTGGTCCTTCATGTAGTTCTGGATCTGACTCTGACTCACCGGGTACCGATCCGTCTGCTGCTGTAACCCCGGCTTCACGCTCTTCTCCGCCATGAGGGCTTTGTGGCGCGCGCTGAGCAGGTAGGAGGCCATGGGGTGCAGGTTCACGAGCCCGGGGGGCGCGCACCCTCCTCCTCCNTCTACTCCTGACTGTACTGTGTACTCCTGACTGTACTCTCTACTCCCTGACTGTACTCTCTACTCCTGAGTGTACTGTGTACTCCTGACTGTAGGTCATTTCGTTTATTTTCCTGGTTAATAATACAGGAGCACTCACTTCCCGCAGACCTCGCAGGTGAACACTTTGGGTTTGTTCCCGGGACACGAGCCTTGGATCCGGGCCGCCGCCGCCGCGGAGCCTTTGAAGATCTTCTCAGTGAGGATGTGGTCCTTCATGTAGTTCTGGATCTGACTCTGACTCACCGGGTACCGATCCGTCTGCTGCTGTAACCCCGGCTTCACGCTCTTCTCCGCCATGAGGGCTTTGTGGCGCGCGCTGAGCAGGTAGGAGGCCATGGGGTGCAGGTTCACGAGCCCGGGGGGCGCGCACCCTCCTCCTCCGGTGTCCCCGGTGCAGTTCAGGTAGCACACGGTGCCCATGGCGGGGAAATGGGACTGGTTCACGACGCGCGGCCGGAACAGCTTGTACTGCCCCGGAGAGGACTCATCCTGCGGGGGACCGTGCTTATAGTTCAGCCCAAAACCCAGAAAGTCTGCCGGAGCCGCGAGAGAAGAGGCGTCAAAGTGTCCCGGTTCCAGCCCGGTGATGCTGATCCGGTGTCCGGTCTCATACCCGAGCGGCAGCAGCGGGATCATGCAGTGCAGCGGGGCCGGGTCGGGTTTCCCCGCGGGAGGAGCGGGCTGGAACCATCTGGGGAGCGGGATTATCGACTTGGGCTCCGGAGTCCGGGCCATAATCCGGTCGATGGAGAAAGCGAGAGGTTTGCTGCCAGAGATGAGCGAGTCTGAGCCCGCAGGCTGGCTCCCAGAAGCCGGGGGGGAGCCAAGGATCCCCGCTGGGCGGCGGAGAGGACCGTCCATCACCGCCGCGACGAGAAGCTGCTGGAGGGGAAGGTCGCTCCTCACCGGCCCATCATCTGCTGGGGAACCCCCCCTCCAAAGAAAATCACCTTATCGTCCTTATCGACGGCAATCAGCGCGTGCGGAGAGCCGAGACCTCGCGGATCGTTAACCGTCCAGGAAGAGAGAGCAGGGAAAGTAGATAATTTGCTCAATACTCCGCTGTCGATTCTCTGCACTTGTCACCGCTGGATAAGAGGAGGAAGACGAGGAGGAGGAAGGTCGTCCCTCACTTGGCAGGACTCCTGCTCAACTGGAAGGTATTTGGTAAATCCCAGGTCCCCTTGTGGCTTTGCGTGACATCATTTTTTTTTCTTTCTTGAATCACGTAACGCGGGTCAGGAGATGTGGAGGAGATTTGGACGCGTCTTTGGCTCCTCTAACGCCAGCCCCTCTTTACGCACGGAGACACACGGAGCTGTCATGTGGCTGAACTTGAGGCAGAACACGGATCGAGATGTTGAACAGGAAATGGATTTAAAGACATCGATCTCAGCCTGGGTGGGCTTTGAATATCACACTTTGACTCAGAGCGTTTTCTGTCTTCATCCTTTTCTTTTTACGCTCACGATTTTTGGAAGCACAAAAAAAACACATCCACGAAAGAAAAGGCTCTCTATAGACTTGTGTATATATTCTGAAGAAGCAACCTGAGAAATAACAGTTGGCTGCTCTTTCTTATCTCATCCTGTTTGGATGCATTTGGCTCTTTTACGCACATTCATCAGGGTGAATAAATAACACGATGTGCGTAAACCTCCATCCTTCCAGTGAGGATGAAGAGTGAGCTGAAGCTAATAAGGAGGATTTATGTTTTAAATGTTGAACATTAGATGGACAGAAAGGGCCAGACAAGCGAAGCAAGAGATACAATAATAAAGAATACATGTGTACGGTATTTGTTTTGTGTTTCTGGACTGAAACTGGTGTTTGTTTAATTATTGAAAAACACAAACACCACATTTTAAAATGTCGTTTTTGACTTTTCAGTTTATCTGATAAAGCCTGAGATTATTATTATTATTACTCGTTTATATTATTCGGATTTGTACATTTTTGACGGGGAGACAATGATCGGAATGATTTGTTGAAATATCAGAAACGCGTAAAGACTTTTAATATAAAAAAACAAAATGTGAACATTAACGTCCTAAAATGAAAATAGCAATATAGCAAAACAGATAAAACGATGTCTTAAAAAGGCAGTATTTAAAACAGTAATATTAAGGTGGTATTTTTTTTATGAAGGAATGTGAGACTTTTGTATTTCTATGGGATGCTTTAAAATATTTAAACACATTTCTATAAAATACTCGTTTTGCCAAAAATACAATCATTATTTTGTCATCCAGCAAATTATTGATAATCCTTAGGAAAACAAAAAAGCTCTTTATTACAAAAGGCCTTCGTTGTCGCAGGCCTCTTGTGTTTAATTCTGTCCTCCGGATGTTCTATACATAATAATCCAACATGTTTTATAACCATAATAATATTAATGCATCACTGTAATGTAGATTTCAGCACATTTAAGGGTTATTGTTAACAACAAAACCCCCGTGATGACATCCATTGATGGAAGCTGCAGGTGATCGATAACGTAACTTAAAATGTCCTTAAACCTGACTTTAGCTTATAAAGCGCTTATCAACTACGTAAACGGAAATTAAAGTGTTGCAATTATTGCTTTAAAAATACAATAATACTAACAATATAATCAGTTTTTTGGCAGTAACAAAAGGCATTCAAAGATCTTATTGCATTAAGATGTCATCAGAAAACCAGTTAATGAGGGAGTGGAATAAAGGTAATTCAATGTGTAATGTGAAGTATAATTAAGACAGGAGTTATATGTGAATCGATGCAATTCTGCAAAACACATATGGAAATAAGTTATATGGAAATAGTACAAAAAAGTGCACATTTTCATTATTATCAAATTATTATTGACAGTGATGTGTCTTTTTTCTGCAGATTAATTAATTATATAACCTTATCATTTACGTCTTATCTCCTGCTGAATTAATTTATATATTAATATGAGCTTTAAATATTTGTGTTTTATTGTTTTTTAATCTTTCAGTTTCATGTTTTTTAATAATCATGAACAAAACGTTCCTTTTTAAAATCTGGATGGAAAATATGTTTAATTTTTTTCTCTCTTTACTGGAATCTAAGTTGAAACCAATCACAGCCTTTCTATTGAAATAATTATTATTTTAATTATTAATAATGTGTCCTTGCTCTGTTTGTGACAGCGGCGGCAGGGAAATGTTTGATGCTCATTTTAATGAGGAGAGAAAAGGAAGCTGATGGACGGCAGCCAGCGGCAGTTTCCAAAGGAACAGAAGCCCTTAAAATAAAACCCTTAAACCTGCAAGATTAAAGGGAAATGGAGAATAACACCTTCTTTAAGAGGAAACAACAGAAAACAAAGACTTAAAGAGGACACATCCTGCTGATGGTCAGGTGTATATCAGTATGTAGTGTCTCTAGTTTAAAGAGTCCTCTCCTGCTGATGTTCAGGTGTATATCAGTATGTAGTGTCTCAGTATGTAGTGTCTCTAGTTTAAAGAGTCCTCTCCTGCTGATGTTCAGGTGTATATCAGTATGTAGTGTCTCTACTTTAAAGAGTCCTCTCCTGCTGATGTTCAGGTGTATATCAGTATGTAGTGTCTCTACTTTAAAGAGTCCTCTCCTGCTGATGTTCAGGTGTATATCAGTATGTAGTGTCTCTACTTTAAAGAGTCCTCTCCTGCTGATGTTCAGGTGTATATCAGTATGTAGTGTCTCTACTTTAAAGAGTCCTCTCCTGCTGATGTTCAGGTGTATATCAGTATGTGAGACTGCCAAGGCACACNTCAAACCTTTTATATTTAGATCTGAGTGAAAATAGCATGAAGGCATATTAAAAGCAGCTTGATCCAAATTCATAAAATATAAAGGGAGGTTTGATTTAATGAATTAACGACTGAAAACTGTCTTTTAAATTCCCTTCAGAGCAGGGGTGTCAAAACTCTAAGGCCCGCGGACCAAAGTCCGGCCCATGACTTCACTTGATGCGGCCCCACAAGAGCATGCAAAGAATATAATATATATTTATTATTATACGGTTACATGTCGATTTACAGAAGCACGTTGGCCATTAACTACATGTCCCACAATGCATCTCAAATGTGAATTTCTTCTCAGAATTTGACTCTTTTTTTTTCAGAATTTGACTTTTATTTTAAAATCATTTTGTGACATTCTCACTGAAGAGACTTGCAATTATTTGCGCTAGACTTCTGGTTTCAGAGTTAATTATTAAGTTATTACCCTATCTGATAATAATCCAATGCAGAGGCAATAATTTCATATCATACATACTTTTATATTTATTAAATATTTATATATGTATTTTTATATAGTCTTGAAGTTACAGCCGGCCCTTTGAGTGCAACCAAAATGCTGATGTGGCCCGCGATCAAATTGAGTTTGACCCCCCCTTCAGAGCATTTAAAATTAGATAAAAGGGAAAAGAACATGAAGGCATTTGAAAAGCAGCTTAAAGGAATAACAGTCGGGATTATTCGTACCATCAATTAATGGTTCAGTGTAAATGTGAAAAAATAAACGAGACGTCTTCAAATTAAATTAAATTGCTCAAAGCTTCGCAAAATTGCCTCCCAAAAATTATATAATTGCTCTGGATTTGTATAAAATAAACTTTAAGTATCCTTGATATAAAAACAAACCAAAAGATGAAGAAGCTATTTTGACTGAGTGAACAACTAGAAAAAACTCAAAGGGAAATCAGAACGCCGCCATGGACAAATGTCCAAGTTTAACACATTTTAAAAAGTACTTTTCCATCCAAAATGTAACGTGTTAATCCTCGGCCGGAGCTACACTCTTCCACCCATTCTTGTGAACATCAGGCAGTCGTTTGTTTGTANAAACATTGAACCAGTCCGGCCCTCCACTAGGACCCCATTTTTTAATGTTGGCCCACTGTGTATTTGAGTTTGACCCCCCTGCAATAGGCGGACTATGCAGATGCACAGGGCCCCCGCGGCCACTAGGGGGCCCCCAAGATGAAAGTTCAGGTTCAGCCTCAATATATTTGGGGAGAATACAAATGAGCCGTCTTTATTTGTAGACAGCCAAGCCCCCTCCTGTGTTCGGTGAAGCATTATATGGACCACAACGTTGACCAAGAGTCTATGTAAATAAAGCTGCTGATGATGATGATGATGATGATGATGATGATGATGATATGCATAACAATCAAATGTAGGATATAAACACGACTAAACTGCAATGATAGCAAAGCTGTGGCTTGTGTTTTTGGGGTAATAAAGTCCAAATCATCGTTGGACTGTCAGCCAATCGGTGATGTCTGAGGAAGATGAAAAATGTAAATTATACATTGTTGAGTAAATGCTGCATCTCTTGCATTCATTGACGTAGAGGAGCCTTATTGTTTACATTTTTAATATCATTTTTGTACGTTTTAATTTCTTGGTTTTCGTGAAATTAGCCTGTTTTCCTCTTAAAGTGTAACAGATCCTCTGAAAGGCTTCGAAATATCCCCATTTTAGTTAAAAAAGTGTAAAAACTAGGGCCCCCAAACAGCTAGAAACGGCCCTGGTGAAGACAATTAAAAAACCCACGAGGTGAAAACACAGGTGCTTTAAAAACACTTTTAATAGTGACATTTAGACACCTGAACAAAACAGGTGCACAATAAGACAATATAAATATACTTCTTCATATAGTATTTTTGTCCTTCAGTTGTTGTCCTTCGAAGCGGCACTGACACACACTGGATCTGACAGGTGAACAAACGGCAGCTTGTTAAACACGGTCTTTTTTTTCTCAACAACGACACGAAAACGGACGGCAGTGAGTGAGAAACATCCGAGATGATCTGTTCAAATGTTCCTGTTAAAAAAAAAATCCCGATGTTTGCAGTTCGTCGGCACGTTTCTAAGACTTTGATCGATGTTGGACATGATGCAGTACGACCATATCAACTCTACAGCTCAACATTATTCTTCACAACAGTAAGTTTCACGATGAACAGAAACTACATCAACATGTAGTCGTGATTCTGGACGATTATTCCCCAAATCTCAGAGAATTTCAACCTTTTGTGAGACTTTTTGTGTGTAGACCTGCGTAGATTTGTTTCCTGATTCGGTCCGTTTCACAGTTTCCAACTACTGTAGAAATATTTCATTTTTTTGCACGTTTCACCACCTGAGGCCGATGGTTGTTTGGGACATTTTGAGCTACGGAGAGTTCAGAAACTACAGCAGAGCAGCAACATATCAAGAGCTTGGAGTTGAATCCTGCTGATGTTCAGGTGTATATCAGTATGTAGTGTCTCTACTTTAAAGAGTCCTCTCCTGCTGATGTTCAGGTGTATATCAGTATGTAGTGTCTCTACTTTAAAGAGTCCTCTCCTGCTGATGTTCAGGTGTATATCAGTATGTCGTGTCTCTACTTTAAAGAGACAAGGAAAGAGTTATTGATTGAAACAGAACCTTACCAATCCAAGCTTCCTGTCAAATAAAAACAAATCTCTTCAGTTGATTGTTGCTGCCGTTGCTGTAGATTAAAAACAACGTTAAAAGGCGGCAAAGTCACCAAGAACTGTCAGTGTTTTTGAACAATAAGCTACGACCATGACGATGGAAAAGAAACAACAGGAAGAAAATGCACTGACGGCCATCGCTGTACAAATTGACATCAATCAGAGTATGGCTGCGTGTTGAAGGGGGCGGGGCTTCCTGTCCTGCAGGCGAGCGAGGGAGGACAGGGATTGGTCCGTCAGAAGCCACGCCTCTTTTTTACTTCCTGTACATTCTCAGCAGTTTCAAGGCAATGAGCAAGAGGTTTTTTTTTTACTAGGACGTTCAGCCACGATGACTTTGCTTCACACTTCTTCATCTACAACAGGGGTGTCCAAACTACAGCCTGAGTATAATCTAGTTTTTCTTTAACCTTGATTAGAATTATGGCATTTTTATTACAATTATCTTTTTATTTCTGTTGTTATGTATATTTTATATTCTGTTCTCGTACATATTCTATTTAGGTGTATATAGACTTTTTCCACAACTTGTTATTTTGTCATGTCATTCCCATCTCTACTCTGCAGCTTTGGGCACATGACAATACAACCTTTGAATTGAACTGAATGTTTTCTTCTTGTGTTCTGTAAAGTACGTTGAGCTTTTTTGTGCATGAAAGACTATAACACCACTTGTTGTTAAATACCAACTATGTGCTGTTAACTACTGTGCAATATATACCTGGCTGATACATTTTTGTATTTTTTGTAAATTGTGTAACTTTCTTACATTTTGTTATCTTTAATATTTTTTCATGCATGTTTCTTAGGTAACATTAAGCTGTCTTTGGCTCTTTTCTGCTGTAACAATGTACATTTCCCCTCTGTGGGAATAGTAAAGGTATTCTGATTCTGAAAGGTTATATACAAATACAGTTTATTATTATATTATTATTATTATTATGTGGACCTCAGTGATACAAGTTTGGACCCCCCTGATCTAGAACATAACTCACAGTGTGATGGAAGGTCCTGGTCCTTCAGAGAGAGGATGTGTGTGTGACGGTATGAAGTGTGTGTGTGTGTGTGTGTGTGTGTGTGTGTGTGTGTGTTCAGTCGTCCTCCTGGTCGCTGTCTCTCATGCTGATCCCCTGCAGGCCGTCTCCAGACTTCACGGCGGCGGTCGCCTCCTCCACCGTCAGACGGTTGTAGACGGTCTCGTAGCTCTTGTTGTTCAGCGAGACGTCCAGAACGCCCTGCAGCCGGAAGTCACGGTACGTCTTCTGATGGAGACAAGGAGACAAGGAAGGACAAAAGGAAGCAGGGGAAGGGAGGGAAAAACAGAGAGCATCTTAGAAATGCAGTTTGGAAGAAACTTAGCGGGGAGATTGAGTCTTAATATTAAGTTGTTGTACCATATATAGAAAAGACTCAATCATTATTCATTTATCATACAATAGAAAATAATGTGATAATATATAGATAGACCTCTTCATCATTTACCAATTATAATACCATTGATCATTTATTCATTATTAACTTACAGACAATAAATATGAAAATAAAATTGAAAAATAAAAATTGGGTACTTTACCTACCCATCGTACAACATGTTCATGTTATTGACTTATTGTACGACATACTGAAATGACTATAACCATTTTACGTTATCAACTTATCGTACAATATGTGGACATGACCTCGACCATTTAAAGATATCAAAAAGATACATGGAAACATTCTTGAGAATTTCTACGTTATATGTAAATGATCTTTTTCTTGTTATTGACTTATCGTACAATATGTGGAAATGACCTCCATCCCTTGTACTTATGATATTTATGGAAAGTACTGTCATCATTTTGACCCAGCAGCTTGTCGTACTGACACAGGAGGCTGTGGCGCAGTGGGCTAGTGCGTTGGTGTTCGGATCAGGGGAGCACAGGTTCAATTTCATTTCGTCGTTGTGTCCCTGGGCAAGACACTCGCCCAGGGACACAACGAAATGAAATGATCCCTGTGGCCTGAAGTCTTGATAGTTCTTCTGTTTCAGGAGATAGAAGAAGGAAACAGAGCGTCTGAGGAATGCATCGAGGAGGAGGAAGAGGGAGCTGCCGTTCTGCGTCTGAAAGGACAAAAAGCTCAAGGACAAACCGAGTCTTTTATGTGTCGGCCGAGGCGTCTAAAGGTTTTTTACCTTCAGTCAGAAGCCATTATAATTCCTCGTCTGTTGGCTTTCAAGTTAAACTCGCGCATCTCTGCACATTAGCAAACAATGAAAAGACAAAGCGTCTCAGTTGAGCTTTTTGTTTCCTTCCTCTTCACAGCGCTGCTGCTTCAAGGACACTCCTCGTTTGATTCGTCCGTATTTTTCTTGTTGTTGTTCTTCTTCAATGTCACTTCTGGCTTTTACCGTGAATAAGATGTCATTTGAAGACAACGTTTTGCCAGTCTGAGGCTCTTTCACTGCCTTTCTTTTCACAGCAGAGAAAAGGAGACTCAAAAGTTAGAGAAATGTGAATTTAAAATCTGCTTGTTTTGGACCCAGTTTCTGTTTCTGTGGATCTTAAAACAGTTCGTACCTTAACGATCTTGATGAGTGTTTTCAGCTGGTAGACGTGCAGCTGCAGGTCCATTCTGTCCGTCAGCCAAACACACACCAACTTCACAGAGCTGCTGTACCATTGCTGTAAACAACAACAACACAGTGATGTGGTCACATGGTGTTTCTGCGCAATTATGGATTATAACAACACACATTTTCAGCTTATCCTACAATATATGGAATTCAAATCAACAATTCTTACGTTATCTAGTCGTCTCATATATGGACATGACCTTAATGTACGATAAAGGAACAATTACTTTAACGTTATTGATCCATCACACGAAACAATCCTTTTACGTTATCAATTGATTGTTTGATACATGAACACGAGCTCAATACTTTTCACGTCGTAGACATATCGTACAATAAATCGTGACCTCGATCGGACTAAATATGGACGTGATCCGGATCTTTTTTATGTCAATTGTTTATTGTATGACGTATGTAAATGACCTGGATAAGTTCTTACGTTATGGACAAATTGTACGATATACAGAAATGACCTTGATAATTTTTACGTTATCAACCTATCGTCCGATATATGGACATGACCTCAACCATTTGAAAGTGATCAACGATAAAGGAACAATGACTTTATTGCTATTGATCTATCACACAATATATAACCATGAACACAATCCTTTTACGTTATCAAATGACTGTTTGATATAGGAACGTGAGCTCAATACTTTTCACGTCGTAAACATATCGTACAATAAATCGTATTATCTTATGATATGTTGACATGACCTCGATCGGACTGAATATGGACGTGATCCGGATCGATGTCAATTGTTTATTGTATGTAAATTACCTGGATACTTTTTTACATTATGGACAAATTGTACGATATACAGAAATTACCTTGAGCATTTTTACGTTATCGACCTATAGTACGATATATGGGCATGACCTAAACCCTTTTTACCATAACGACTTATTTTATGTGTAAATGACCTGAATAATTTGTAGTTATAACTTGGACACAACCTCAATGTTAGAGTACGATAATAAGCGATGACCCAAGTTGACAAAAAGTAATAACATAATAAAGCATTTTCTTCAAAGCAAAGTTGTCAAGGTTTAATATTTCCTACCAAAACTCATACTAGGAGAAGTGAAAAGATCCTGAAACTGACACAAAACAGACTTTTCACTTTGTATCTGTAAAAGAGAGTTGTTTTTTGTTCCTATTCGCTTCAATCCATCTATCTGACTTTAGAGAAATGGCACCGTAACACACTTTTAACAAGCTTTGACTTTCCTGAAAAAACACAAAAAGTGGATTATTATTAGTTTTGAGTTTCACAATGAGACACATTAAGCCAAAACCTTGATTTGTAACAGCCTTAACCTTTAGAGTGGAGTAATACAAGGGATGACACATGACCTTCGGAGGCTACCATACATCTACAGGCTGAGTATAACACATTTCGCAGTGTAAAGGAAGTGACCCCCGAGCTCCAGAGCACATTATTCACAGAAACCAGCAGAAAGCGGATGTTTTTGAAGTCAGAAAACCGAGAGCAAACACCTTGAGGAGTTTCTTTAAATATGCTTAAAAAGAACATACATAAAAAGAACATTATGGTGATGTGAAAGAGGGCGGTTAATGGTTTGGGTTCGGAGTTCAGAGCTGTCTTTAGAAACACAACGCTTCAACCCGAGGTCAACGGATGAGCAGCATCCGAACGGCACAATTCAAAGAGGGAGGAACAGTTATTTATTTATTTTAAAAAGGTACCAATTTACTGTGAAACTCCTGAATGCAGCGTGTCAGGGGAAGAAGAGTTCACGGCTCTGCGTCGACCTGAGAAATAATCAGGTTCTTGCTTTGTAATTTTCATTAAACTCTCTCCCTTCACACCTCCCACCACCCAGCGAGAACGCAGAGGGAAATTGCTCTGACACCGTAATGACCCGTAATATTCAGATCTGCCTCAACAGACTTCATTTCACACCGACAAGGACTGCAATTACCTTCCAATTTGAGAGATAAAAGCTGTCCAAAGGTTATTTAATGCACTTGACAAAAGCCAAAACACGCCCGTGATCATTCGGGGGTCACGCAAATATTTGAATCCATTTATTGTGGGAGCGACACCGTCTCCTTTAATTATGTTAAAGTAATGAAGCAGTGTCAAGCAAAAAAGAATGAATGTGGACTTTCAATCAGAGGTCTTACAAACAGTGAGTTCGCTCTCAGAGAAAGTGTCTCCATGTCATTTGAAGGCTGTTGTTTGCATGTGCTCCACGCTGTGAAGAGGAAAGGGTTTTCTGACGCACTTTAAGATGCCACCGCTGTTTCCATAAGTCGTGCAGATGCGAGTATTTCTGCACTTTGTATTGCTTTGCCTCCTACAGGTAATGTGAGCTAGCGGTATATGCAGCGAACAGGGAGTGTGTTTGTGCTTCAAACTCTGATTTATCTCATTTCCTCCTCAATTCTGTTTGTTTAGGAAACACATCTTTGAGATGAGCACCAATTTTGACCTCTAAATGTTAAACATTATCAATTTCCACAGACACACATTTCAATTTGGGCCACCCTACAGCAAATGCACATCAACACAATTAGCATTGCAATCAATTGACTATCTATTTATATTTATAGACACTGACATAAAAGACTACTTTGTGTTTTATTTCTCTTTATCTAGTCTGTATTCAATGGAGTTCTACTTTCTTTGAGCCACAGTCAAGGAGGTTTCACTTCTCCGTTGTGAGCAGGATTATGCAAAAACGAGTGACAACAAAAATCTGTTGATGAGAATAAAAAGACATTCATTGATGCAGCGTATCCGAATACATGGGATGGAAACCCACATCGTTATTTTACTAACGGAAAGAGCATTGGAGGTCTCTAACGGCTTGTTTCTTCTCATTTATTATTTCTAATACTCCATAGCAAGTCAAAGTCCTGCACTCTGGATTTCACTGACACACTATTGGCTTAAAAATGATCGTTTTCCTTCCGATATCAAAAGTACCAACAACTGAAACTGCGGCGACATCAACGTATCTTAAAATGACAGCAGCACTGAACGAAATGTTTAAATGTCCAACATTTTTCACATTTCCTTAATATGTCAAGTCTTTAAACTCTGCCAGAGTCCATGGGTGTTTCTCAATGTCGAGGACGCTTGCTTGGTAGGACATGTCTTCCGAGTCACTTCCTTCAGAAGCGAGGCAAGAATCCTTCCCGGCATTCGGAAAATTAAGAGTGGAACAGGCTATGAGAGGCCTCGTCTTACATTTTCCGCCACAGATTTCCGTGCGCAAAGCATTGTGGGGATTTTTAAGACCGCAGAGGATACACATGTGCAGCCTCGAAATTTCCCGCAACGAAGGACGCCGGACTCGGTAGAATTCCAAGGAGCCTGGACATTGGAACAGTCCTTCGGCGGCACTCGATGACGTAGTATGCTTGAAATAGTGGCTCTGGAGTATCCTTCCTCGACATTGAGAAACACCCATCGTTTCCTGTTAGTGTTTACTTCCTGTCTGTCTTCTTCTACTACTGTTTCCTGTTAGTGTTTACTTCCTGTCTGTCTTCTTCTACTGTTTCCTGTTAGTGTTTACTTCCTGTCTGTCTTCTTCTACGAGAAGGGTCTAGCTGCGGCCGCGGACAGTACACAACACTACACGACACGCCCACCTGTCACGACACTACGGTGGCTGAGAGGCACTACCGTTAAAAGCGAATTGACGAGATTTACATCATACAGCCCATGTAGTATAATATTTTACAAATTATGAATTACAGCAAACATGTGCAATATCTCCATTATTACAGCTCCGTGGGCAATAAGGCGATATGGTCCGTTGTTATTGTGCATCCATGGGTAAAGAGAAACTCATGTAGTACTGAACACGTAACATGAACGTGCCGGGCGGCGCGGTCCCGTGGGTTGGGTCCCCGTTCATAATGCAGGGGAAAATAACTCTCAGAATAACTTTATTAGCACATTTTACAACTTGAGGACCGAATGTTTTTAATAAGGGCTATACAAACGTTCATACTGGGTAGTTTATTTAGTTTTAAAAATATTATCCAACGAGTTACAGACCACTCTTTCCCCATGTAAGTCAATGGGAAAAAGTGTTTCCGGGCCCAGCAACCTAAAGGAAGTGTAGTAACGCCGTTTGGCCACAACGAATATTCTCATCAGACTCCGGCGCACTTTGGCGCACTTCCCGGGGGCTTGGTTCAACCTCCACTGTCCGCGGCCGCAGCTAGACCCTTCTCAGCCACCGTAGTGTCGTGTCAGGTGGGCGTGTCGTGTAGTGTAGTGTTATGTACTGTCCGCGGCCGCAGCTAGACCATATTGTCTTCTACCGTTTCCTGTTAGTGTTTACTTCCTGTCTGTCTTCTTCTACTGTTTCCTGTTAGTGTTTACTTCCTGTCTGTCTTCTTCTACTGTTTCCTGTTAGTGTTTACTTCCTGTCTGTCTTCTTCTACTGTTTCCCGTTAGTGTTTACTTCCTGTCTGTCTTCTTCTACTGTTTCCTGTTAGTGTTTACTTCCTGTCAACTGATTTCTGTCTTTTAACCTCTTCTCTTTTTCTTTTCTTTACTGAAGACAGTTTAGCCATCATCAATCCAGAGTTTCCTTCTCTCCACAAATATCAAAAATAAATATTAAACAAGAACTCCACAAAGTTTTCTGATGGAGAAAACAAAAGACTGTTTTCGTCAGCTGACGTAAAGTTGACCGGACCTCTTTCTGCGGATTGATATGACTGCACACAGTCCCTTAATGCTCCTTAGCAACAGTTTGTTCTCCTTAACAACGATCTGTTAGCAAAAAATCGAGGAATGTTGAAATTGACCAGGATCGAGTATTCAAACGAAGCCATAATAATTAATGTTTAAAATAAATGAAGAGAAGAATAAAGTAGCATCCAATGGAAATACTCAAGTAAAGTAAAGCTACTTTCCACTCTCTTGGTGTATCAGTAGAGACATCCATTAAGCTTTCATTGCGGATGACAGATTCCTCCACCATCACTAATGTCTGCTCTTCCTCATTTCCTCCTCATCTCCCGACCCTAAACACAACGCTGCAGTTTGAGTCGTGTGCTAATCGGCTCGCCGTGCTAACAGATGCTCGACCATGTTGAAATTACTGGACGATGTTTGCTGCTCCTGGGATGATTTCCTCTGACTTCTCTCTCCTCTTCCTCCCCCACTCTCAATGAAACGTTTCTCTGAGTCTCTGGGAGGCGAGTAGCGGATAATCATCGGCCCGACGCTCGCCTCGCGCGCCGCGTTAGCTGTCGTGGAAATTGAGTACGAAGACCCTCCTTAATTGAGCTGATTAGAGGACGAGAGGGGAAACAGATGGAGGGTATAAAAGGGGGAGGGGGGCTGCATTGGTCTTGTCAGAAACAATTTCTACGTGATGAAGAGGAGAGGCTTCCTGCTGGTGTCACAGTAATGATGTCATTTAAACATCTCACACATTGTCAAGGCTTGGCTAAAAAAAACAGTCATTTTGTAAAATAATTAACTATTAAGTCTCTCATTTAAATATGTATTATTATTATTATTATTATTATTTATAAGTCGTTGTCTTGAATCTGGTGCTGAGATGTGGTGAGAAACAGATTGCATTTGTAAAAATATAGATACCAAAGCAACAGAACAAATGAAGCACTGTAGTAAAAATAAAAGGGTATTTCGTATTGGATACAAAAGGATTCGTCTTTGAGCAACAAAAAAACACTCATTGCTAAAATTATTTATTTTCTAAAAAGAAAAGCAAGGATGATGAAAATATTTGTAATTCTTTAAGATCTTTTCCTTCATTATTGAGCCAATATATCACTTATTTTTTTCTAAATAAACCTGCAACAAGAAAACAAACTTCAAATATTTGATCTTGTTGAAAAGAATAATAATATCGTTAAAGACTGATTCGTGGATTCTAGGACTTGAATCCACATTTATGTTCTTTGACAGCCTGCAGGTTTGTCCTCTAAAACGCTTCATTAAGGTGATTTGACTGCTAATGTGTGTGTGTGTGTGTGTGTGTGTGTGTGTGTGTGTGTGTGTGTGTGTGTGTGTGTGTGTGTGTGTGGGCATGCATTACACTCCTTAACCACACAAAGACGTTCCCTGGTGAGCACTTGTACACAAATAGATGGAGAGGCACATGTGAGCATGCACACACAGAAAAAGTGTTTACAGCTGCGTGCAGAGACCCCCCCTCAACACACACACACACACACACACACACACACACACACACACACACACACACACACACACACACACACACACACACACACACACACACACACACACACACTAAACCTCCTGCTTGAAGAAAAGGCTCCATCATGAATTTGACTTGCTCAGACGCACGTAAACAAGACAATTGCATACCCATAATGCACCTGGCTGGAGGCCTGATGCTGCTGTCTCAACACAAGATTTACTTTCTCTGTGTGTGTGTGTGTGTGTGTGTGTGTGTGTGTGTGTGTGTGTGTGTG